CCGCCCCGCGTTACAAGTATGATTGATGTCAAAAAAGAAATTTTGACAAAAAATAAACATTACCGCCTACATTCCATAAGCGAAAGCTTCAAATGACAGTTTTAAGAATTACGAGGATTAATATTTTAATTATATTAAAACTTTTTGAAAAACTACGCATTTTCATAATATTTAAACTTTCACCCATTTTTTTTAAAGTACAGTAATCTGACAGAAAACTGAGATTTTGGAGAATGTAAAAAAATGCAGTAATCATCGGGGGAAAAAACTTTTTGAAGACTCATGGGTAAGACTCATGGGTTTTAGGATACTGTATGTTTTGGTGAAATGAGATAAACGATTTATAATTTATTTCAAGTTATTTCAATACAACATCAAAAAATGTTAAGTCAATCATTTCATTTCTTTCTTACTTTCAGTCTGAACCATCAGAAGTGCTCCAAATGATCCTGTTTCTCCTAGGTCATGATCCAGTTCTTCCTCCATTATATGCTCCACGTTGCAGTTCAGTACTCAGGTACCAAGGCCCAAGGCCCAAGGCCCAAAGCCCGAGGCACAAGGCCCAAGGCCCAAGGCCCAAGGCCCCAGGCCCCTCTCACCTTCTCGGGAGCCCCGAGAAGGAAGAACTGATTCTTCCCTTCGTTTCCCTCTTCCTTTATAGTATTCCTTCTGAGGTCAATGGGTTGTGGGGTTCTACGTCGCTTTTTTCAGTGGAAAAATTTAAAATTTTCTGAAAACCCTCTTTTCCCCCACGTTTAAATAAATGAAAATTGAGTTTTTTTCTTCGGATGTAAGTCCCTTTGACCCTCATTATCTCGTTTCCTGTTTGAGATATCAAAAAATAGTCAACTAATGAAACGTTGCTAATTTTAAGGCAAACATTTTTATTGTTAAATTTTTTCGATATCTTTCACAGAAACTGAAAAAAAAGTTTATCAAATTAACTAGACTTTACGATATAACTTTCAAGTTTGAGCTAAAATTTATCTCGATTCCTGTGAAAGACATCAAAAAGTTGTCAACGGATAAATTGTTTATCATAGTATCAGAAGTGTTTTATTAGTTAACAATTTTTGGATATCTGTTACAGTAACCTGAATAAATTGGCTCAAAATCGAAAGTCGTGTAAAATTTAGTCTATGTGCATGTCATGCAGTAGCTTGATGAAAATAGTGTTTTTTTGAATTATGAGTAAAACAGAAAAAAAATTTTCGTTCGTTTATTAAATGATAACAAATTCAAACAGAAAACAAATATTTATTTTTATCAATTATCTTTTCAAGACCTCCGACCTCAAATCCATCAATGCCTTGTTATCCTTTCTTCGCAACTTTTTCACCGCAGAATTCAATCCACATCTCCTAAACTTTAATTTCGCTTCCTTATCATTCTTTATCATTTCTCTCATTGTCCATAATGCCCATTCAACTGGACCATCGGATTTCGAATTTTCTACAGTATCTTTTAAACTTTCATAGGAGGAACAGAATGAGAATTTGGGAAGTCTTCGTTTGATTCTTCCCGGTAAATTGTTCAAATCTTTGAAGACTTGTTGGATTTGGCCCACGAGCTCTTGATCTTCAAATTCTCCGAGAATCTCCATAAAATAAAATGCAAGCTGCACTCTTTTTATAAGGGTCGAAGATCCTTCCAGAATGTTCCTGTAATTTTTTGAAACTAAAATACAGTTTATATGAAAATCGAACATTGGTTATATATTGAGAACATTGAGAGCTTCAAAATAAGATCAAACACGACTAGGCTCCGCCCACTTTGAATTTCTCTCTTGAAACTCGAAATTTCAAATCGCACCAAATTACGGCGTGCTTTGGCTCATTTTGAAGCTCTCAATGTGTTGAACTCGAAATTTACATTGAACATCAAAAATTCGCAAGTTCTGAACTTCAAAATCAGCTTTAAAGTGGGCGGGCCTAATTTGCAGTATTTTTGAACTCACATCATATTCACTGGATCATTCAACATCCAAGAAACGCGTGGAATTCCTAAAAACATCCTTTTCAAGGCTACGAAGGTCTCAGACGCTGCCTCATTGCCTTCTGTGATCTTCTGAATTGTGTTCAGAGCATTCTCGAGTTCTTTTCGATGTAAAATTTTTTTTGGCGTCGGATAGTATAACCATAAGACAAGTGGCTCCAGGTAATCACTCCTGGGAGCCACTAATTCTAATGGATTGATTCTGGGGGCTAGCATGTTAAGAGCAGGAACGACGTCGACATCCTCTAGTTTAGAGCATCTTACAGCGAATGAGCAAACCTTTGGTACATTCAAATGGGTTAAACTCAAAATTGTTACTTGATTAATGATGTTCCAAACATTCGTAGTGGTCCCACAAATCGATTTATCTTCCAACCACCTGATTCCAGTGTCCATTAGCTGATTAGCAAGCCTAAGAAGATGTTCAGATCCCAGGGAATTCAAATGTTGCTCACTAAAATTATTTTCTTATGTTCTGGAGGAAATTTGAATCAACTTACTCCGCAATAATCTTCAAACACCGAACACCACGAACATAAATTTCTTCAACATCACTGAAAGCTTCGAGTGCTCTACAGACAACACTTAAAAACCCACGGAGAGCTTCCTGGCCCAATTGCTCGGCTTCCTCTTCGTCGAAATCATAAAACATTCTGAACAGAAGATATGAAACCAATATGTCATGTTTCATACGGGTGTAATGTCGCATGCATTTAATGAACGATTGAGGTGTTGCATAGTTGAGTAGCTCGATACCCGGAATTCTAGAATACTCAAGGATTGTTCCTGAAAAAATTCAGAATTTTGTATAAGTTACAGTTACTGATACATATCTCGAAAGCTAAAGTATCTATTATATTAAAAAGCTGTCAACTATAAAAATGTGTAAAATTTTATAACAACATGATTTTTCTAGGCAACCGTATTTAATGGCCCAAAAATGACCAAAAATGCACCTGACAAGTTTTCTCGGTCATTAAAGAATAGTGGCCTAAATTTCGCATGTTGAGTTTTCTAGGTCACCAATTTATATTGCTTATAATTGACCTGATATTCACCTGGTACGATTTCTAGGGCATTTTAACATAGTGGCTTAACTTTCTCGGTATAGTTTTCCTAGGGCGCCGTAATTGATGGTCCAAAAATGACCGTACCTGGTGTGCTTCCTAGGTCATTTACCATGGTGGCCTAACTTTTACTAGTGGGTTTTCATAGGGCACTCTGTTAAATGGCCTAGAAAACACACTACCGGGTCCGGGTCATTTCTAGGTCATCGAAAAAATTTGATGGTCTAAAAAACTCAACTTGCAAAAGTTAGGCATGGTAAATGGCCAAGAGAACACATCAGGTGAATCAAAAAAACCCCAAAAAGTACTATGACATTCCAAAACGCACTGTGCCAAGTTTACTAAGTTTAGTTAGTAAAATTCTGAAAAATTATTATCGAAAAATCAGACAATTGGTCAGAGTGTCTATGAAAAAGTAAAATTTGAAAAATGAAACAGTAATTGTTTAAAATTGCTGTTTGAAATTTCAATTTTGGGATTTCCCGATTCCTGCTGAAAAAGCCATGTCACTATGGTAAATAGCCTAGAAAACGCATTGGGCGAACGTTTCTAGGCCATAAATTTTGGTGGCCTAACTTTCGCAAAACTTACTAATCACTACAACTTGTTTAAGGTTCTTGTGAGTTTTCATCAACATTTCCAGCTTCTCCTTATCGATATCTGTTCCAGCTGCATCGAGGAATCTTAATTCTGGCAGCACTTTTCCACACTGTATAAACTTTTCGATTATATTACCATCGTCTGTAGATTTTCTGAAAAATTCAAAATTGATAAACTTAAATTTTCAAGTAAGTTCTTACAGATCCAGCATTCGTAACTTTTTACACTCGAACAATGGATTCAAAAGTCGCGCTTTCGAGAGTGTACAATTTTTCAAGCTCAAAGTCTCCAGATTTTTCAATTTTGAGAGTCCTTCCAAACTGCCAATATCGGTGGCGAAGAATTCAAGACTTTTCAGACGTGGCAAGCTTCGTCCAAGAATGTTTAGGTCATTTTTGCTGAGTACCAAGTTCCGGAGAATTAGAGTTTCCAGCTTTGGAAGGTTTTCAGAGACCTAAAATAAAGTTTTATACTTTTTTACAAAAATATTTTCCAAAAACGACTAAAAATGGAGTTTCTAAGCCATTCCAACATGATGGCCTAACTTTAGCAAGTTGCGTTTTCTACGCCACCAACTGTAATGGCACAGATATGTCCTAATATTCATTAGATGTGATTTTTATACCATTTTAACAGGATGACCTAGACGCAACTTGCGAAAGATAGGCCATCGAAAATGGCTAAAGTGGCCTAGAAAACTCCACTTGCAAAAATTAGGTCACCATTTTTTAATGTCCTAGAAACTGGCTGAAATTCACTTGATATGTATTCTAGGACAATCACCTCTAATCATGAATTTTATGAAGCAATTCAAACTTTACATTTCAAACAGCAATTTAAAAAAAAATTGCTGTTTCGATTTTCAAATTTTACTCCTCTCATGTGCATCTTGGACTGATGGTGAGATTTTGTATAGAGCTACTAAACTCGGTGCAGAGTGTTATTTCGGAGTATCGTAATGTTTTTTTATGGGTTTTGCGCTTTTTCTAGGTCATTTGAACATGGTGGCCTAACTTTTCCAAGTTGAGTTTTCTAGGTCACCAAAGATAATGACCTAGGAATGACCTG